CACCCGGGGGAACTGCGATCCCCCGCGATATGACCTCTGGGTGCAACAGTTAGAGCTTCAAAGTAGGGTCTGCAAGACCAGGTTCAGATCCCCACCATGCGGTGGAAGCTGACTGAGTGATTTTGGACTAGTCCCATACTTTCAGCCTAACCAACCTCACAGGGTTGTTGTGCAGATAAAAAGGAGGAGCGAATAATGTAAGCTGTTTTGGTCTCCACTGTGGAGAAAGAATGTAATTTTCCTAAGTAGATGTGGGGGGTGGGGGGGTGGGGAGATGGAAACCTGAAGACAGAGAGGCAGATAAAGGTACATTGGCTGTTGGGTGGGAAGGAAATAGGGTTGCCAACTACAGGTTGGGAAATTCCTGGGCATTTGAGGAGTGGAGCCTGGGGAAGGTGGAATTTGAGGAGGGGAGGAACTTCAGACTGGTATAATGTCATAGACTCTACCCTTGAAAACAGCCATTTCCTCCACGAGAACTACTATTGCCAGGCTCCAGGTGAGGCCTGGAGATCACCCAGAATTACAACTGCAGTCCAGGTGACAGAGATCAGTTCCCCTGGATAAAATGGCTGCTTTAGAGGGTTGTGTCTATGGCATTATACCCTGTTGAGGCTGCTTGTCTCCCCAAGTCTCACTGTCCCAAGGCTCCACCCCCAAATCTCCAGGAATTTCCCAATCTGGAGCTGGCAGCCCTAAGGTGTAGTCTCTGTAGCTGGGAGATCTCTTGTGATTCCCAGAGAGCTGCCATGGCTGCTGTAGGGGGAGAGGAAGCAGGTGGGTGGCTGAGAGTATCACCATTGCTGCTGCTGCTGTGTTGGGTGGGGAAGGAGGCAGGCAGGAGGCTGGGAGAGTGATGGGACAGAAAAAGAGAGTGATGGGGTGGGGGGCAGAAGGAGAGAGAAAGAGTGATGAGGTGGGGAGGCAGAAAAACAAAGAATGATGAGGGGGCAGAAAGAGAGAGGAAGTGACATGCATGGAGGAGAGAGAGAAAGAAAGTGGGGGCGGAAGGGAGAAAGAGTATGAGAGAGGTAGGGGGAGAGGGGAGGAAGCAAATGTGTGAGGAATGGGATAACTGCTCCACAAGTTTCTTGCGGGCCCCCACTTGTTTTTTTTTCTAAAACTCTCTTCACATTCATGAGGGGTAGAAACTTTGTTTTAAAAACTGTGAAAACCAAGAGGAACAGGAATCAACATTCTTCACTAGAGTTCACGTGGAACCACAAAAGCCAAGCTGTGTTCATGCTACAGCCTTGCTTGTGAAGCAAAGTTCAATTGACACAGAGCTGGCTGGGAGACAGAAGAAACTGCCCTTTAGTGGTGATTATCATAGAGTGACCAAGGCAACACCCCATGGGTGCAGACAGTCAAGAGGCAATAAAATGAAGTGATCTTATGTACATAGTTGGAGTTAAACGTAGAAAGCCTGGCTGAGCTGTGGCTAATGTAGGGAAGGAAAAAGTATGGAAAAGGTGAGAAAGGGGTCAAAACGAGCAGGGGGAAAGGTCATCCCTTCCTAAGCAACAGACATAACACAATGGTGGTGTGACTCCAGCCAAACATAGTGTTGAGACTGTCAGCTGTTTTCCTGAGATTGCTGTACATTTCCAGCCAGAAAGGCCCCTGCCTGTTCTGTACCCTGCAGCTAGTCTAAGCAGTGCTCAGAAACCCAGCTGGTTAGCAACAACTCCATCTTGATCAGCAAGGCTTCTGAGGGCACTGCTCCGTGCTCTCCCTGGGGTGCCTGGAGGTATAAATAGGCACAGGCACAAAACTAGGGGCATGAAAGGTAATCACTGTGCCCAGGAATAAGAAAAAACAAATAAGCCTTCTCCTCCTGGCATACGGGCGATAGGGGTCTGGTTTTAGGATGTGCTGAGTCTGCGCTGATTCCATTCACTTCACCAAGCAAAGGTGATGTTTGTGCTGGAGGGACACAACATCGGCTGCAAGACAGGAAACTGATGAGCAGGAAGCAAAACAGGCAGTATAAATGCCAGACTCTTTTCTCAGGCCCATTTATCTCACTCTCTTCCTAGCTGCCCACTGAGAGGTAGCTTTAATGAGGTTTTGTCTGAGGTAAGATCACAGATTGGGCCTTCCAGAGAATTTAACTGAAACTTCCCCCCCTCCCTAGCCTATTTTTATTCCTGGCTGTTTTGCCAGTGCATAACATAACTATGTGTAATAATAATGATGATAATGCCTTTATATAGCACTTTTGGATATCCTGTCAAGGAAGTCAACAAGGTGACCCCGTGAGTTCCCAGGGCAACAGCACACAAGGAACCAGCCTGATGTTATTAAATAATATTTTTAAAGTTTATTGGGAAAGTGAAGGTTTTCTCTCACCAGCCAAGAATGCCACAGCAGAACTTAAGCCCTTAATGAAGCTCCCTACCTTCTGTGATTATCTTTGTTTTTCAAGTGAGATAAATGTGTAGTTGTATCATAAGAGAATTGGGATAGTAAAGTAATGTAACAATAATTTATGACGCAAATAAAAAATTATTCAAAAAAAAAAGAGATAAATGTGTAGTTGTCATAAACGGAGGGTTAATTTGATTTAGCAAGACAAGACATTGCCAATGCCAGCCCTGAAATATCCAACAAAGATAATAGTGCATTGAATGCCTTTCCTTTGCTACTTACTAATTAAGACCAGCTTCTAGTCACAGGGCTTAATCTTAACATGTCTCATTTTGGAAATTAACCACTGGTTCCATCACCACCACTAGGGCATGTAGTTCACAGAAACAGAAGCTGGGATCCTGGTCTTTTGGCCATCCTGACCGGTTCCAAGCAAAGGATATTTTATCCATTTCCCCCTCTTTGGTTCTTTTAAACTTGCTCATACAAGCAGTCTCAGAAATGCAAAGGGACGTGTGCTATTCAGAAACAACTCTCAGAAAGGAGTCTTGATTTCTGCAGTCCTATAGCCGGCAAATAAAACCTAGCTTCCTGTTTCAAGTCTAGCTCGCCAGTTTGGTGTAGTGGTTAAGTGTGCCGACTCTAATCTGGGAGAACCGGGTTTGATTCCCCACTCCTCCACTTGCACCTGCTGATGTGACCTTGGGTCAGTCACAAGCTCTGGCACAGCTGTCCTTGAAAAAGAGCAGTCTGTGTCAGAGTTCTCTCAGCCCCACCCACCTCACAGGGTGTCTGTTGTGGGGAGGGGAAGGGAAAGGAGTTTGTAAGCCGCTCTGAGACACCTTTGGGTAGTGAAGGGCGGGGTATAAATCCAATCTCTTCTTCTTCTTCTTCTTCTAAAATGCTGGTGTTTTTGGGAAGGCACATATTCTTTTTGCGCCCTTAGGACTGCTCATTTATTTTTAATCAGAAACAATCCCATGCTCCATGTGGGAGGCTGATTTACTTTCACCACATGCCACTGTCTCATGCCCTGCATGTAGCCAAGGATTGTTTCAGGGCGGGGGCACAAGTGACATCATGATGTCTCTAGACTATGGGAAAACATGAGGCTGCAGGAAGTGGGCAATCAGATGTGTCATTCCTCAGGTCTGCACAAGAGGCCACCCGAGGGGGGATTTCACATTTCATGGAGAGGAAGAAGTAGAATTTCCAAGGCTACTTTCCTCCTCTGGAATTAAGGCCAGTGACATGCAAAACACAGTTGTCTATACTTACAGTTAGTCATTAGTGCCATGTACAGGGAGGGTGCAATGTTATTTAGTTGTCTAGTTATTGAGCATTGCGTTTTCTTTGGAAACCTCAAGCTTTATTTCCCCAAGGGCAGAGGAGACTGAAACCAGCACGGGTAGCAGCAGAAAACTATCTTTGCTCCCAGGTTCTGAAGTGAAGCAACAGCTGGGCCTCCTGAGCTGATAATTTAGGGAAATGAAGAAAGGGATAGGAAGGAATTGCAAGGAGCCATCAAAGTAGCTTGTTGTTCAGATCTGTGACTGCGTGTGTGTGTGGGGGGGGGAGGGGTTAAGATTTGCAGAGATTCAGGATCCAGAAGTCCTCCTCCCCCTCACCTTCCTGGCTTGTCTTTTACATAATGCAGGTTGACCAGTTTAGCCAAAACACTAAAAGCGATTGCCTGGTTTAGAATGTGGCATCCGAACCCCTGGAATTCCGCACAGCCATTGCCTGAAAACGGTGCCTGACAGGGTTCCATCCACCGCCACCTCCCACTTCCCCTCAGCCTCTCCTTTACCTTGCTTTCCTCCTCGTCCTCCTCGACCTCGTCGTCTTCGTCGTCTTCCTGCTCTGGTCCCTCCGCCGCAGCAGTAGCAGCAATCACAGCAGCAGCAGCAGTCAGGCTGGGAACCTTCATCTCCGGAGGGTGACTCTGCGGTTCTGCTTTCGCAGTCCGGGATGCAGAGTCCTCCCCCTCCCCCTCTCGATGCTGCTTTTGCTTTTCGTCTTTCTTTTTTCCTTCAGCCCCGGTTTCTTCCTCCAGGACCCTTCCCCCCCTGTCCCTTCCTTCCTTGTCCACTTCGCTTTTCGGAGGTCCCTCGCCGTCCTCGGTTTGCTCCTGACCTCCCTGGATTTTCTCCCCTCCGTCTTCCCGGTCTGCTGCAGCGTTCGCCTTGGCCTCTGTGGCTTGGGACTCTTCCCCTCCTTCTTCCTTTGCCGCTGCCGCTGCTATTTCTGCACCTTTGTCCCCTGCCGAGGATCTCAACTTCACAAAGGCCGAGGCTAGAACAACGGCCAGGACTGTGAAGAGCAGCGGGACCGCATAGTACCACTCCATTGCTACATCCATCTCTCCAGCAGCTCCACTGTTCTCGGCTGGAGGCTCAGGCGCACAGTCCGCAGCTGGCCAGGGGAGCTGCTGCTCGGGCTGATAATTACAGACCGCGTCCTTCTCGTCTCTTCTCTCCGGCGGATGCTCTGTAACTGACTACCTCTGGTTAATTTCAGAGGTCTGTGCGCACACAATAGTCTGACAGAGGCAGTCGGTGAAATCCCTTCTTTTCTAAAGCTGGATAGGGTTTCACAACACACGCGTCATTTCCCTGGGCCCTGCCCACAGCTGCCTCTTCTGCCACTCAGGGAATAAAAGTTGCGATGGCTTCCTTGCTCTTTCTGGTGTGTGTGTGTGTGTGGGGGTCCTTGGTGACTGTAATTTAGAACAGTTTACAAAACGGGGTAATGAAATACCCCCTCTCCTGCAGAGACCCATGAGGAGTTTTGTGTGCGTGGGGCGTGGAGACAGTGATCTACAGTAAGCAAGCTCTCTAATCAGGTTTGCGTGAAGATGGCTCTGCCGAAGCACCTCCTCCACCGCTTCCATGGAGTTAATCCAATCCTGGCTTCTACAATAATCCTTGTTTGAGCATAAGGGTTGCAGGCAGGGCACTTATTTGGCGATTTGTCTGTAGGCTGCAGAGTGGTAAAAACCTGATAACCTAATTTGCCCAGCTGAAGCCCTAGGGCCAATGCTCCCTCTAAGCTGTGGAGTCTTGTGAGCAAAACTTGTACTTTGAGAGCTACTGGCATTAAAGTGAGCAAGCCATTGGGCTACTGCATAAATTAGTCTGCTCTGGAGCCATCCTTCCTGAGCTGAGACAAGAAATGTGTGAGCCAGAGGCTAAAAAACTGTGAGCTAGCTCACACTGACTCAGCTTAGAGGGAACACTGCCCAGGGCATGTGTTAGGTTTTGTCAAATGGATGTTTAAACTGGCCACATGATGAATTCTTCATTCCAGCCCTTGGTCTTCATGTAAGCCTTCAACGCCCAATCTTCTTTGCTAATAAAGTTGCAACATAAATCTCTGGTGCTTTGTTTTGTGAGAATGAACAAGATCAAGAATATAAAGCACTTTGTTCATTCAGAACACTATATAAATGATGCCTCCTTTCTTATCCTTTAACCCAGCCCCTCTGCACTCAGCACAGTTTGAAGCCTTCCTCCAACTTAGAGCTTTTTGACCAGAGGAAGCTGGGGAAGGCTCCTTAGGCCAGAGGAAGGTTTCAGACTTTGCAGACTGTAGTGGTAGGAAACAGACTACTGTCCTACAACAGCAAGGTGGGAACAATGACCCTTAAATATACATGAAATGAAGCACAAAGTGACAGAAGCCATCTCGAGCAGAGTCTGTTTTCACCCAAAGAGTACTAAACCGTAATTAAGCCCTGCTGGGTTTATAAGGATGGATGGCATCCAGGGGTCATTTTGTAGAAAAAGAGGTGCAGGAGCTCATTAGCATAACCTATTAGCATAACTTATCTGCATATGCCACACCCCCTGACATCACCGGAAGTGCGTCAGAAGGCAACACCCACCGCTCAGGCTCCAGTGGACTGTTTTGGATTGTTAGCTATTGGGGGGGGGGAACGTGCAGATCTGTCCTCACAGAGGAGGGAGAGCTTGTACCTGAATAAAACTTGGTCTTAAAGGTGCCACTGGACTGTTTTGGACTGAGGGCTCTGCAGCTTACCTGGCTGCTTCTTGCTCTGAGAGCTGCTGGGAGCAGGGGGTGGGGCTTGTTGCATGTGCCTGCGCCCTGGGCTCTGTACTGCCGAAGCTCCGCTCCTGTGTGCTCCTGCAGGAAATGACCCGATGGATGCTAATTGTTGCCTAGAACTAAAATGCATTTCTTTGCTCTGATTGCTTTTTATTTTCACCCCAAGGTAAAAGCGCTTTCACAGGAGATGAGCATTATTTGACTTGTCCCACGGCCTGTGCGCAAGACATAAGGCAGGAAAGGGAAATTAAAAGAGTTCATGCCAAACTTGTCTCCTCGGGCTGTTGTGCTCTCCTGTAAAACAGGAATAATTAAGTCCAAGAGCTCCCTCTCCTGCATCAGCTAAAAAAAGAAAGAAAAAGAGAGAAGAGAAGGAATCTACAACACTCTTAAAGTACAACCATTATTTGTTGGTGGGGTTTGAGTCATGATCAGGCTGATACACAGCCAGATGACTGAGTAGTCTTGAGAAGGAGTGGTGGTGGTGGGAGGCGGCCTTGCTTTTATTGTTTGTAGAGACCTGAAAGAGAGAGCAGAGCTTTTACACCCCCAACTCCCCATTCTAAATTTTGAAAGGAGATGCAACTGATTGAAGCAGGCAGAATATAAATGTCTGTGGAGAAATCCATCCCAAGCCTCATATCTACACTCTGGGGCTTCTATGAGAAGTCACAGAACTGTAAGCCAGACAAAACAAAGAGCATTGCACAGAACTTTAGAAAGACCCAGACTTTCATCCACCCCCCAGCATTAACAGCACAGTCCACACATTTTCAGTAGAGATGTACAAATGAACCCAGTTTCATTGCTTAATAGAAAGCACAACCTCTGTTGCATACTGCCAGGTTCTAGTTTTGTTTGGAATACTGGAAAATAGTAACGATTTGAGATGTGTGTTATATGTGTGTGTGTGTGTGTGTGTGGGTGTGTAAGTGCTGTCAAGTCGCTTGCAATTTATGGTGACCCTATGAATTAACGTCCTTCAAAACATCCTGTTGTTAACAGCCTTGCTCAAGTCTTGCAAACTGAGGGCTGTGGCTCCCCTCATTGAATCAATCCATCTCATGCTGGGTCTTCCTCTTTTCTTGCTGCCTTCAACTTTTCCTAGCATTATTGTCTTTCCCGGTGACTCCTGATAATTTGACCAAGTACAATAGCCTCAGTTTAATCATTTTAGCTTCTAGGGAGAGTTCAGGTTTGATCTAAAACCCACTTATTTGTCTTTTTGGCTGTCCACAGTATCCGTAAAACTCTCCTCCAACACCACATTTCAAAGGAATCTTTCTTCGTGTCAGTATTTTTTCATAGTGTGTAAAAAGTTTTGCACTGAGGCAGTAAGCCCACATGCTATGGGACTTGCTGACTCCCTAAAGATCACAATAGGGGGTCAGGTTAGCCATATGACTGCCCTGCTGATTGCCTGGTGTGTCAGCTAGTTAAAAGTCTCTGTGTCAGGAACCACTTGCAGTGTCCTAAGGGAGATGGAATCAGCAGTTCATATGCAAGATGCCATTTGCCATTTCAGAGTATTCTGTCATACTAATACTTACAATACCCAGCATCTGTTTGGCTGAAAGCACAGACTGGTTGTTGTTGTTTTTTTAATAGGGAAGTTTATTAGGAAGAACAAAGGTAGCATAAACTTACGGGGGGGGGGGGGAGACATTGGCAGCTAGGATTTTGTCCTTTAATCTTAAAGCCCAGACTGATATTTTGTCTTCCTTTTCAACAGAGGGCACAGGCCTCATCCTCATAGTGCCTGCAGCCAGAGGCACATTCCCTCAGGTTCACAGTGTCAAACAGGCCCTCAGACAAACCCCAAATCTCTGCACTGTGCCTCATGATTCATGGGGTTTGTCCCTCATGTAGAAGAAAGGTGAAAATCTAAAATCTAAAAGGGGTGTCAAATTCTTTGGATTTAGCCCAGTTTCGTTAAATTGCAGTCAATAGAGTTGGCAAGAATCAAAGGTATGTAGCTGAACTATGGTTTGAGCTTTATAAATTCATACATTGAAACTGGCTTTTATTGCTTTCCTGGGATGCAGGGACCAAGGAAATCCACCTTAAATACCAGTGGAATGGGCAAGAGAAACACCCCCAGCTTGGTGTAGTGGTTAAGAGCGAGGGACTCTATTCTGGAGAACCAGGTTTGATTCCCCACTCCTCCACATGAAGCCAGCTGGGTGGCCTTGGGTCAGTCACAGTTCTCTCAGAACTCTCTCAGCCCCACCTACCTCACAGGGTGTCTGTTGTGGGGAGAGGAAGGGTAAGTGATTGTAAGCTATGCGTATATGCATATTATTTTATTATTTTCAATTTATATCCCGCCTTGCCAGGGAACTGGCATATGATTGACTCATTTCTCCTTGTTACCTCTTTATCTGTTTGTTTCCTCATGTAACCTGACATATGCCAGTAAAGGTCTGTGTATGTATGTGTGTGTGTGTGATTGTAAGCTGTTTCGAGACTCCTTCAGGTAGTGAAGAGTGGGGTATAAAACCTCCTCCTCCTCCTATAGCTAATCCTATCAAGGCAGTGATCATTAGCATGCAGATAATTGTATTTTTGGAACAAAACAGTCACAGTACTTACTCTTTTCTTCCATGAAGCTTTATATTTCAAATGAAATGAACAAAGCTGGGCTCCAAGCAGAACTCGAAGGGAAAGTGATTTACAAGCGACATTTGGGGAAGCATCAATTGATGGGTGCTTCTTTTGTCCCAAAGCAGTTGCTAAGACTTTTCAGCTTAGGAAAACTATCAGAAAAGTTAGTTCCACCCTGACCTGGATAACCCAGCCAAGCCCAATCCTGTCAGATCTTGGAAGCTATGCAGGGTCAACTCTGGCAAGTTCTTGGATGGG